CATAGCATGACTTGAATAGACCATTTTCCATGTGTCCATCTTATCTTTATTTAGGAGACACCAACTCTGCAGCCACAGTTTGCAGAATTAATACTAGGAAAAAAAATCAGCAAGTAGATTATGCAGAACTTCAATTTATGCAATTGATTTGTTGCATAAAGGACTCAATTATCAAATAAAAAGTCATTATTATATCCAATTCTTCTCTCAATAAAGCTATAAACTGAAGCAAACAATATAAGAATGATTTTATTGTATGTCTCAGCATTCCGATTCCAAATTGCTAATGACCATAACAATTCAGATTCTGCAAAGGAACAGCTTAGAATTAGAAAAATTCCTTGTTTACCAGATAGTGTTCAGGGAGAGCATTTACAGAGGTATATATACATAAGTCTTCACTGGTGAACATGAACAAATAGCTCAGTTCCTCGAGATGTTCAGCTATTTGAAATCTTTAATACCTTCAAAATCAGTGATGGCTTATTGGCTTCTTGGTAGGGTCAACTTTGTAGCCATTTGACAGTATTTCTAAATATTAGGCAATGTGAAGTTGACATTAGACTGTATTAATAAATATTAGGCAAAGCTTAACTACATTTTTTTTTTTTTTTTTGGAAGCTAGTCAAAAATATTTTTTATCCATACATCTCGTAGGATCCACAACTTTCCATCTACTTATTATCCATACATTCTGTATGATCCACAGCTTATAAGCTCTTAAAAGCAATCTTAAGTAAACACTTAAAAAAATTAAAAATAAATAAAAAATAAAATACTAAAATCATGTATGCATATCAAACATTCAACTTACAGTAGTTGGACTAGAGCTGTAGACAAATTGACTTGAGATATGGCTTTGCATAGCTAAGGGTGAAATAAGAGTGCATCTTTATATTCATTCATCCATAAATATGCCTGTTGGAGTGAGAGGTGCATAGGCTTGGTCTTTCTGATGTTCCTTCAACATGAAAAGATCATTTGGACACATAATAAAGAAAAATAATATGAAGAAAGGAATAAAATCCAAACACCACTTCTGAAGAAATAACATACAGAACTACATCTATCTGGAGGTAGAAAGGCAATCAGACAAAAAGTCAAAACAAGAAGCATCAACTGAAACTTCACTTCAAAACAAGCACTCAAAATGATACATGATATCTAGAATTATAGGATATTTTCTTCTTTGTTATCAAGATAAAGATTAATGCATTAACGAGAAAATCAAAATAACTCAACCACAAGAAAATTAAAATAATTCAACCACACTTTATTGAATACTTGTTTAGAATTCTAAGATCACGAGGCCCTAAAATTAAGGAGCACAACTTGCTTCATATTACCCACTAACCAACCCACCCATATAATACTAGATTAAGTCAAAAGTAAATAAAGTGCACAAATTATAAATACGTAGCACAGTGACAAAAGAGAAACACGTCCCAGAAAATTTTAAAAGAATTACAACTTGATCCGTAGAATTGAGGACGTGGCAGTTCAGCTCCTTTGTCCCAATTCAGGAGCTGCATCAGCATAGACCTCCAAAGGCACAGAATGTAATAGATGCAAAACTTTTTTTAGTTGGAAACTGTATTGTTAACCTTTAGATTGTTGACCACACTCACCACAGACTAATTTTGTTAACCCACAGGCTTTTTTCTTTGACAGAGTTTCAAATTGATATATCGACTCACATCACACCATTTGATCCATACCACCTTGGGCAACTATATTATTTTCCTTACTTCATGTACCAGAATTCTGTATGCAAAGATAGGTTTCTGTTTGCCATACCTGTAAAGTGAAGTGAACCCAAAAAAATTGACATTAACGTATAACCTAGATATCTACTTGAGCATATTTTCGCTTCCAGTACATGACCATAATAATTTTAATCCTGATTCAATGCCGAAAAATTTCCTGGCTTTAGAGCATCTTGTAAATAATAGAGAGTATCTTTATATTTAAAATGTAGATTATTTTATTTTATTTATTTTTATTTTTATTTTTATTTTTCTTTTTTTGGCACTCGTACAAACTATTTTATTTTTAGCTATTTATTCACTTTTTCCAATAAATTATTTATTAGTTTTCCTTCATTTTCCAATTAATATAAATTTTTAGATGTCAATAGCAAAAACTTTCAGATATAATTTTAATAATTTAAGAAGTGGAACATTGAAATTGCAATTTATTAAATATTGATTATAAAATACAAAGAGAGGGTGAGTTTGGCTCTCCAAATATAGAGAGTGAAACCCATTAAAGAGTCCAATTCCAAGAGTTGCCTTTTTAAATTAGGAGTATTTTGCATTTACAGTCTGTAGGAGATGCTTTTAAAAAGCATGAAGATGGCTAAACACAGATCAAACACTGCTTGAATCAAAGTTTATTTGACCCATGTATCCAAAGGATTTGTCTCTCAATGCTATCTTTTCTTCCCCCAAACCTGTCTTAGATGAAGGAAACATACAAGTTTCAACTATCTTAGATTAAAATTCAAGTCAAAGTCAACAATTAATTTTAAACATACAGTTCATGGGACCTGAACTTTTCAGCCGTACATTCTATTAATTGTTATCAAAATCTAATAGAAATTTGATTTTTATTTAAACCAACCATAGGCTTAATTTAAAAATATGGAGAGGCATTTAAAGTTTTCGGTTTAGTAGCACAACAGCAGAGACCGCAATGTTAACGTGTTTCAACAGTATAAAATACAGATGATACACTATAAAATAGAACCAAGAATGCTGCTATCTATTAAAGATTCATAGATTCTAGAACAGTGAGCTCAAGTCAATGAATTAAATCACTCATACTTCAACTTTCTTCTCATGTTTTCCGAAGTCCAGAAAGAAGATTTGAAGTTCCATATTCGTACTCCCAAAATAAAGACCAGGAAGGAAATCTGCTGGCAGTTTTTTTGCAAAAGAAAGAACAGGAGACTATCTTTAAAGGTGAGGTGACAGCACAAGAAGATTCTCTTACGGAGAAATAATTACGATATAGAATGTTCATCGTTAAATAGATAATTTTTATAACGGGTAGATAACTTTTATAACGGGTGATTCATTGTGTAAAGTACAGCCTAGAAATGTTTACTTCGAAAAAAGAAAATGCCTCCAACATAGACTGTCACTTTGGCAGGAAATATCAACATTGTGAATTGTGAGCAGGAAGCTCAGTAAGCATGCAGAATTAAACTAGATTACATGGAAAATATGAATCCAGTAGAATTCATTCAGCCCAAGTGTTAATTGGCTACAAGAATTCGCAGATATATGATTAAGGGCATGTTTGATGTAGATTTTTTGAGAAAAAATATTTTGTGAGAAGTGTTATTTTTTATCTTTTTTTGTAAAGTGTGTAGTTACAAAGTAAAAAAGAAAAGAAAAAAAAATGTTTATGGGTCCACAAGCAAAATTATTTTATTGGGAGAATGTACTGTTGAAAATGAATTTGGGGAAGATTAAGTTTTAAAGAATGTGTACCAAACAGGGGGCCAAATATAATGAAATGAAACGAGCATATACAATATTTTATTTCGTGAAGTTTTTCTATTTCCTATTAGTTGATTCACAGTGTGGATTCCTAATCCTTAGATATGGACATAAAACATCAAGGGTGTAGTAACAGATGCCTTAAAGTTAACAAGTGAGACCTGCTTTGCACCCCTACACAACTAAATGCATTAGATAGGTAGAATTACAAGATATAATAGAAAAAGAAATCCAATAGAAATGGTTAGAAGAATTTCAGGGTAGTGTTATCTTACTGACAGTTAAGCTTTCCATTTTATCCTTAACTTCCTTCATCAGCCTAGAGAGCCAATCTTTAGAACTGAGTTTCTACTTACATCATGGCGACAAAAGAAAGAGATCTCTCTTCCATGAAAATCACACTTGTTTCGTCACTTTACCACATCAATTTTGCAATTTTCCACGAATATCATGCAGCGGCAGCTTTGAAGAGTCAATGATGCGTTTGCTTTCATATACAATGTGACTGCATAGTTCATGCTTAGGAGCTGGCCAAAGAGATTTTAGTTGAACAAGAAGATTTGTGATGATTCGTTCAACAATCCAACAAAGATTCACTAAAGGAGATATACTGCTATTCAAACATACAATCATTTGGTGAAACTCACTGCTGCTGCTTCTACAGTTCAAGGCTTCTTTTGCAATACTTCTGTCTAGCTCCACTTTCTTACTCTGAAAGAAAAATGTATCTTTCAACATGTCCTTAGGTAGATAACCCAAGCAGCTATAATTTCAGATTAGCAAGTGATATAATTCATGGCTCAGATTAGGAATGCTTGCATGTACATCTACAATTCATTAATAATTATCCAAATACAAGCCTACTTTTGGGAAGTGGAGGATCAGATTCTTGTCAGTAGAGCTATGAAGTAACCACATGCAGTTAGGTGCCCAATCAATATTTCAGAGTTGGGAAGGATGGCTCAGTAGAACCGTGAATGCTCCATTATGCAAGGAAGATGGTGGATGGAGGACATAAAATGAAAATCATAATGACAGTAAAATACAATAATATCCCAAGATTAACTAAATTCTTGAGCCGGTAACACATGCATGCATTTTTAGTTTCCTTTCCCAGAGGTTACTTAATGATACTTAATGAAAGAAAATACATAATTCAAGTAAAAGCAAATTATTAAAACAACTTAACAATGCACCAAGACGACAATCCCCATAAAACATATTAGACTAATAAATAATAGATCAATTCTTATAATCCTTATCACCTAAAATTACTCCGGGAGCTGGCTAATGCAGGGACAGGAACAGACAATATACATTAACCAAGGTGCTGGACAATCTGAATCTCAATTCTCAGCAAGGAACAACTTTACCTCCAACAGCTTACAAGTGAACACTACTCTCCCGCTTTTTAATGCTATCATGGCTCAAGTAGGTAACTTTCTTTCTGCTTAACTAGTAAAAACCAATCTAACCCATGGATCATTGATTCTGGAACCATATGACATCTTCGTCAAACTTTTTTTTTTTCCCTTCTTCTGAAGTCGAGTGTTTAAGGTATCAAAAAGTAAAACTAGTTGATGGAATCTTTCTACTAGATTGTATTTTGGTAATTTCTCCTAAAAACAGGAAGAGGACTGGCATTGCTAACGATGAATAACTTGTTTATTCTGTAAGATTAATAAAGGGAAGTGTAAAAAGCTCCATAGGCTCATCAATGTGAGAGTTCTTTAACAACAATACTGAAATGTCAAGCAGAACTTAACGTACAATAATGAAATTATGTCATGACGTCATAGACAAGGACACCCGAGTTTCGCTAAGCTAAATAAGTTATTTCCTTGATTAATCACAAATTAAATAGTTCTGATCTTAAGTGTGAGACTTGTGAATCCTCCAAACACCATCAAGCATTTTCTCAGTACACAAAGCTATGCTCCATCAACTTTTTCTTTTAGGCACGCTGATGTTTGGGTTCCCTCACAAGTGAAAACTGTCTGGTTAGTTCACTGCCTTAATAGATGACCAAACCCATGTGTGATGGACATTTCTTAAAAACAAGTCAGATACAGCTATTGTTTTCTAGGTTTTCCATAAAATATAAAAGCATCTTGAGGAGAATGGAATCATTCCCCAAAACTCTTGTGCTATCATGCTCCAACAAAATGGAATGTACAAGAGGGAAAATAGGCGCCTTCTTTTAGCACAAAAAGAACTCCAATAGAAATGGTCAAGTTTAAAGGATTCAGGAAAGTATAGGTTTACTTACATTAAGTTTTCCATTTCAATTTTAGCATCTCTTCATCAGCCTCGAAAGCCAATCTTTAGAGCTTATTTCAACTTACATCATGGTGATAAAGAAGGACCTCTCGCTTCCAGGCAAATCAACCAGGTTTCATGACTTTACCGCATCAGTTTTGCAATTTAAAATTAATTTCGCGCATGAGCAGCACCGAGTTGTCAACAACACGTTTACTTTCATATACAATGTGACTGCATAGTTCATGCTTAGGAGCTGGCATAAGCGATTTTAATTGAACGCGAGGATTTGTGATAACTGATTTATTGCACTCCTCTTTTGCAGGTTGGACATGTTTCCACCAGAAATCAGACAATGCTATCTTCAAGACATCCCAATATTCCCTATTACGGTGTAACCTAAACAAACTACTGCCATTCACAGTCCACATGTACAGGTCCATCCAATCTCGGTCCAGTATTTCCATCAATCCTTGAGCTTGGGGAATAAAATAAAGTGGTATTCTTTTCCAAGGGATAGCCTTTCTCATATCACCATCAAAGAATGGACATTTAATTTCAAGAACCCCGCGAGAAGACAAACCGTAAACAACACTGTCAACAGACCCATCTGGGGAAGCTGCTAGCCAATTATCATCCGGGTTCTGCTCCCCATAGACCTGGAATTTAGGAAATGATACTGTATTTCCTGTTATCAGCTTATATCTTTCAAGAGCTTCCTCTTCCTTAATGTTGCTCCAACAGGTAGCTAAATTACCTGCAAATGGCTCGATTGCCCCAAGCTTCTCTAGCCATAGTTGGATCCTTCTGCGATGCCAAAAGCCAATAGCTGTTGCAAAAGTACTTGCTGTCAGTTTATTCTTTCTCAAATTTTGCCAATTCTTGAACCAATGCTGAAGACCACTGGATCGAAGAATAGGATGAATTTCACTTGATAAGATTCTAGGAGAAACACCACTCTGACAGCTGCTGTACTCTTTCCTGTGGCTGCAGAATTGAAAAACTATAGCCTTCTTAAAGTTGTTGCTACACTTGTTATGTGGAAAACATCCAATACATGAAGTAGCAAAAATCAAGTTTCTCACTGCGCATGAATTCAAACCAAAAGGACCGCATAGTTAAATAGCAGCTTCAAATAATGCTGTAGACATGGTAAAAATATAACAATAACTGTACTGAAAAAATGGTTTCAAAAACATCGAAGTGCATTGGGAAGGTTGAACATTTTTTAACCCTTCAGCAGTAATGGATGTAGACACTTTGAGTTGGGGGCATAATCATACTTGCAAAAAATTCCATGTTTCAAAATTGCAGCACTCTTTAGCAATGCTGCTATGCCAGCATACTCTTGTTTTCATGCCTTTGCCCCAAATTAGAGAAAACATAAAATTGATTTTAGATATGAAAAATGAAAGAAGTTTCGCTTCGGCAATCTAAAAATTAAAGGAAGGAAATACCTTGGATCGGTATCATAAGGCAGAGGCCATGGAGGTGAGAAGAACATATCATCTAGAGAGTTATCAAGAGATGCTGTCCCCTGAGTGGATGAAGAGGTGACATGTTCTTCTTCTCTGCAAAATAATTCAAATTTTCAATTAAACCGCTAAAATAATTAAAAGGAACTCAGTACAAATAGAATATAGGCAAAGCAGCAGCTGAAGGGAATGTTGAAGCATTAAGGCAAAGCAGTGGAATTGGGAAAATGTCACAAATCCAACCTAAAATGTGAAGAAACAACGAATTTAGGGGTCATATCTTCATCATAATTTCTCACGCTCTCAGAAAAACAAAAACAAGAATAATAAATTTGCAGCAATGCCACAAATTGCCATGGCTCCAAAGATCGTGTTATAACTTATAACTACAGTCATTACACTTCACCCGAATTAATTTAACGATGCCCCAACTTTTTAACAAGCTCCACGTCTCCTGCCAGACTGACTTGAAAGTTGAATGAATAGCAAGCGAAGCAGCACCAGTAGTTATTACGTAAAAATGAAATAGCTAAACTATCTAAAACAGAAAGAAGAAATCCGTCAGTATTTCCGGAAATCCACATAAAATTGGAAATCTTGTTGGTTTGGTGGCGGATTATCAGTTTGTTCGAATTAGTATTTGCCATATTTGCCGAATTAAAATCTGTTTGTCAGTTGTAAAAATACAGTGATTTTGTTAAATTTCTGGTATAATTCTAGTTTTCGTTAACAACCCACATCCGGAAGAAACTCCAAATTGCCAAGAGTTTCACAAAGTAACTGCCTTGGGCATTGAAAATCAACCAAGTGAAGGATAAATAGATGAAACAAAGATTGATGACGAAGTAGAAATAGACGGTTTAGAGCTTTACCTTTAGAAATTAGAAGGGACGGACAGTAGAGGGAGACCGGCGCCGAAAGCAGTGAGGGAGACTGAAGAGCAGAGGCGTACGGACAGTGAGGCAGGCGGGCGGGAAGGATAAGAAATCGCGAGGCGCCAGTGGATGGTTTTCTGATGTTTCTGATGTTAGGAAAATTACAAGGTTTATGGATTAGGGTTTAAGGGTTTATAGATAAATTTAAAATATAAAACACATTGCCCAAAAATGTTATAAGCCAATAAATAAATAAATAAATAAAATTATATATATATATAACACATTGCCCAAAAATGTTAGAAGCCAAAATAAATAAATAAATAAATAATAAATAATTAGAAACTATCAAAAATCAAAATGAAGAAAATAACAATTAATATAAATTCTATCATACAATGTGAGAGGTGAAGGTGAAGGTGAAGGTGAAGACGGAGATGAAGACGAAGCTTGATGAGGAAATCTTAGGTGATTGATTTTTGTTATGAGATAATTTATTAGCTCTTTAAATTTCAATGCTCAAAATGGGGGTAAAATATTATGGATTGTTTTTAATTTAAATATGGATAAATATATTACCATCACAAAATTTATGCACTACACCACATTTATAAATTTATAATCACATCATAATTAAAATACATTTTAAATAAATACACCGCAATGAATTTACCATTGTACTCTTAATCCAGTAAAAATAAAAATAAATCATTCTAGCGTGCACATCATCTTTAAAACACAAAAACTCACAATTACACACACACCTTTTTCCTAATTCTTCTATGCTACTTTGATTTTAATCGTTTCACATAATTTGTTAACCCAAAAAATGTATTCTTGTTTCTAATTTAATTCGCAATTTTTGTAGCAGATTTCAATTCTCAATTTTTCTAATTTATTTCATATATCTGCTACTTTGTATAGGAGAGGATATGCGGCGACTTCATTGGATGCTGTGTCCAACAGTGTGAAGGAGGAGTGTTAACTATGATAGTAAGTTATGGAATTGATGAACCAACAAAGACCTCATGAGTACTCGACCCAATGACCAAATATTGCCGGTCGGAGAATGAAGCCAATGAAATTGACCTCGTTGAGTTGCGAGTGCAGCTCTTGACAACTAGTAGCCACTAAATCGAAGAATCATAACACCTTGATTTTGGCTCCATTTTCTTCTAACAGTTAAATGAAATCCTTTGTTTTCTTCAAAAATTATTCTACTAGTTTACTGAATAGAATATATGAATTGTTGTATCTCCTTTGCCATTCATATGCTTTGCTAATTTCAATATTGGTTTTTCAGACTTGTTTTCATTTGTTGATGATAATAGCAAACCTAAAACCAAGCCTATGTTGTAGATTTCGTTAAAACCCGTTGATGTTTGAAGAGAAATATGATTGTTGTTTGAAGATTGATGTTTGAAGAGAAATATGAAGTTTTCAGCATAACCGTTGTTTTACAAGAACGTCTCTTCTCAAATGACTTTTTTGATTTATGATTGTGGTGTAATAATAAAAATTTTTATGGGATAAATATATTTAAACCACGTTCATGTAATTTTCTTAAGGTTATTTAAGTAAATAAAAAATGCTTAAAATTGTGGGATAACTAGTATATTTTGTGGTGGTAATATAATTATCCTTTAAATATATCTAATAAATCTACTTTCTATTCTATATTTTTCCTATCAAAAGAGAGACTTGGGGAACTCTATTCATTCCGGTCACATGGATTTTGTTCCAAAACTGGTTCCATTAGGGTCTATTTGATTGCGAAGATGAAATTTGGGTGGAAAAAAAATGAATTCCAGAGAGTTGAATTATCTAGAAATTGTTTTCCTGAGAATTGTAAATTATTGTGTTTGATTGTATAATTTTTCACGAGGAAAATGTTGAAGTAAAAGTATTTTTTGGTGTTCGTTTCACTTTGTTTTACGTGGAAATTGTCAATTTCAGGGATATCCTCTTTTACAATTGTTCCTAAAATTTGTTCTCATTGCCAAAAAAAAAAAAAA